TCCTGACCTGAAACGTCAGCTCTCCTGCTCCTCTGATGCTGCCTGGCCTGCTGTGTTCATCCATCCTACGTACAACGTGGTTACCAGACTACATCCAGTTGAGGCCTAACCAGTTTTTTTTGTACAGTTCCAACAGAACCACCTTGTTTTTATTCTTTTCTATGTGTCAGTTAATAAAGGCAAGTATCCCATTGCTTTTGTAACTATTTTAACCACCTGTCTTGCTACCTTCAGGTATCTTTGAATGTGTACACCAATGCCCCTCTGTTCTTCTTCAGTACTTTCCAGGGTCCTGCAATTCATAATGTCATCCCTTGCCTTGTTAGGCCTCCCCACGCTTTTCCAGGTTGAAGTTCATTTGTCACTCTGCCCACTTGACAAGTCTGTTAGTATCCTCTCGCCATTTACTGCTATCGTCCTCACTATTTATCACCCTGCCAATTTTTATATCATTCTCAAACTTCTTGATCTCACCACCTACGTTAAAGTCAAAATCATTAATTTACATCACAAATAGCCACGGCCCTGGCACAGGGTCCTGTGAAGCCCCAATGGAAACAAATATGTGAATGTATCCTGGCCCTCTGAATTCCTTCTAATAACTTCTCAACCACTGAGAATTTTACACTCTACCATCTTCAAAAGCTTACTTAAGTTCCACAGTGTCCACTTTTCTTTTGCTCATCCTTCTCAGTTTTTTTTTGGGTTTGTCTTCTGTGTCCCAATTGCTCTTGCTGTAAAGCATCGCGGGACTAACTTATAAAGCCCTGGATAAATGCAAGTTGTTATTGTGTTATCTGACGTAAATAGTGAGCTTTGTCAGGTTGGGTGAGTTGGAAGAATGGTAAAGTACACAATGCGAATGATTTAATTCCCATGACACATTAATTTAGCAAGTAACGCATTCACCCTTGCGGGGAGATAGTGAAATGCTAACCGTTACCAGCTATGGCATCCTCCCAAGTTTATCACAAACCAAAACAAAAAGTCATCGTAGGCTTTCATTTGTTCACTTCCCTGGAGGCAATCATCACAGGGAATCCGGCTGACGTATGGATTATCACGACGTTTCACAGCTATACGAACCCTGAAGCTAGCCTATCGGTTAGTAGAATGTGCATATGACATCGCACCCATTATTTCAATGATCAACCTTACTTGTTTTTCTATGGGGTTTATCCTTCTCACTTCTTGTTAGGGCTCTTAACCGTAAACATACAGTTGGTCAACAAATTTACTTAAGACCTAATCAGGTCAAAACCTTATGTCAAAAGACTCATTTATGGAGATTTTTAAAAAAAAATCAATGTTCTTGCAGTTACAGGTGGTGTATTTATAATCATTTTGCTTTCAGCCTGTGGACGACTTTTTAGTCAGGTTGAATTTATTGCTAGTCCCGAGTTGCTTCTGCAAATGTGTTGGTGGTTGTTTCGTGCAGTGATTATTTATAAAACTCGGACAGTTTCTTGCTAGACTACTTCATAGAATCCCTACATTCGCCCCTCCGCCCCATCTCTGTAACCCTGCACTTCCCATGGCCAATCCACCTAACCTACACATCTTCGGACTGTGGGAAACCAGAACACCTGAATGAAACCCTCGCAGACGGGGAGAATGTGCAAACTCCAAACAGACTGTTGCCCAAGGCTGGAATTGAACCAGTGTCCCTGGCGCTGAGAGGCAGCAGTCATCCTGCTACTTCAGAGAACATTGAGTCAACAATGTAATATGGGGCTGGAGACCAGTGAAGGATGAAAGTTTATTGATGGTGGGTTTCTTCTTCTGTAGGGAATCAATAAGCCAGTTACAGTAATCCATCAAGTTCTTGGTTTAGTTCACATGCAGAAACACGACTGTCTAGATTTATAGAAATCATTTTGCTGAATTGGAATGGTTCCTTTGTATAGATGCCCACGGTAATTGTATCAGTTGAAGTTCGGTGAAGGATGCCAGCTGAATGGCCACTTGAGCACATATGGTGTTTGTTTACCCAGAGACACAGAAGGGGACAACCAATTTGAATACCTCTCCAGGAGTCTGCTTCTGGGCCTGGCCAAGATGACTATAAACAAGTCCTGGCGGTGAGCCTTGGAGAGGGTCATGAGCCCATCTGCCTGCCTCCGCACAATTTCTGCCAGTAAACTTGAAGTCTTCACAACCAGTAGGTGCTGCACTGCAGCATCATCCCTCCAAAACAAAATTTTAATTTAAAGCACTCAAGGGGAAATTAAATTTATGTTGCAGTGCCCCTTCAAAGGGCTGTTAACTCTAATTTGAGCTAATCATTTTTCTTAATTTGAGTATCAAAAGAACATAGAAACTTTGTGGCCTTATAAAGGAGGCTGTTATACCCAGTTGCCTGTAGGGCTCTTGTGGCGCAGGGGTAACATCCCTATCTCTGAGCTAGTAGGCCTGGATTCAGGTGCCACTGACTCCAGAGGTATTTCATAACAACTCTAAACAGGTTGGTTTGAAAATATCTACCCAACTGCCTGCCTGTCTTCAATGGTTATGTCCATGCCTGGTGTCTGAATAGGGAGCATTTGTGTCCATTGGCATGCTTGAGACCTTCCATGATTGTTGGACACCACAGGGGCTGAAATGCATCATCTTCAAGTAAAGTTACATTTTAATTTAAACTTGATAAGTTTAATTTGAACATTTGATTTAAGTAACAGTACTTCATTTAAGGGCTATCATCTTTTAATTTGATTTTATTTGACTTTAAATTTGTTTCCAAGAGAATGAAGAAATACTTATTGACACCAGTTGAATGGAGTCAGGACCTGAATACCTGTAGTGTTTCACTCTAAATAAATCTGTCCGAAGTAAAGACTGGTTTTGGATTCTTCTTTCACCAACTGGCTAACAGGAATATAACAATCAAGCTTCATATTTACTGCACCACCAATCAATTTGTTAAAGTAGATCATAATCCCCATTGCTGATGACCACGTGTAGTTTTCTGAGGCTGCAAGAAGATGCAGCATCTCTTTGGAGAGAACCCATGACATTTGATGTTCAGCTGCTGTTTCCCTCCTTCTTCCCCATCATAGTTATAGCAACAACTATTGCTTCTAGTCTTTCACCAACATTTTCAGTGGACCTATTTTTAGCTGCAGGTGTGGGAATTGATGGAAGCTATTAAGAATCTTTGAACCGTGTTGAAGATAGCTGTGGAAAGCAAGACTGCTTTTAAATGCTCTGCTTGATAAGGTCAGAAGCACAGTAAAAGCACCTAGCCTAACTTGTGTATATATAAGTATTACTTTGCTATTTTGCCTGACTATCCAGTTGGAAGTAGTATACTCTTTGGAGTTCAGAGAGGTGACAGGTTATTGTACAACTTCATAAGTTTACTCTTCTGGGGCACACACTTGAGGTATCGGGACCAAACAACACAGAGCTAAAGAGACTGTCAGATGCATTCTGCACCGTTAGAAACCTGCAGGGAAGAACCCTGATAGGTGAAAGGTATTCCCTACAGCCGCTTCCACAGCATCCTTCAGTCCCCTTCCACTTGAATCACTATTCATGAAACTGTCACCTGGAGGGTGAACCTGATATTTTCTGATAATCTGGATTTGATGTTACACTTATTTCTTGGCAGAACTTTATAACTGGAATGACCATTTCCCCCATTAATTGGTATGTTGCCACAGTGTGAGGAGAATGATGAAAGATTGAGGGAGGGATTGAATATCTTGCAAATACTAACTGATGTTTATTCCTGAACGAAAATCTGCTTGTTACCACATTGCTGTGCATAACTTGACTGCCATATTTCCTAATATACAATTTAACTAAATTATTGATGTGTCTTGGAACATCTGAAGGTCATGAATGGTGCTATAAAAATGCAAGCGTTTTTCCTTTATTATCCTGTTTCAAATGTTATGTACCTATTTGTACCACAATCCCATCCAACCATTCCTTCAAACCTTGTAAGGATGGTGGTTTTGTAACTTGTGTTTCTGTTAAGAATTACATCAGATTGAACTTTCTTAATGCCTTAAGTGCAAAGCCATGGGAAGTGACGAGGAGCAGCTCCATCGTGGACATTTGTGAGCTGACTTTAAATAAAGTTAATCAGGATAGGTGTGATACTTGATACACAAATGCCTCCAAATGCAATTACACCCATGGAGAGATTTCATAGCTTAACATTTCTGGCCTTGTACAACATCATAAACAATAGGAATTTGTGCTTAAATAGCACATTTAACATTCAAAACTTCGCTACACTGTACAGAAGGTAACAAGGTTAAGTTTGAGGCAGGATTTGGAGAGGCTTTTATTTTTTGGTTAAGCTCATTCCATTGTGGAATTTGCGATGCAGTGCAGCATTGTTGAATCTAACCACTACCACTCCGTGGCTCTGAGACTTTTTCTCCTTCAAATATTTATTTAATTCCCATGTGAGATCAATCATTAAATTTGCTTCCACCACCTTTTCAGGTAGCACATTGCAGTTGAAACAACGTGATACAAAAAAATGCTTTTCATCTCACATCTGGTTCGCTTGTCAATCGTTATAACTCCGACCTGTGGCTATCAATCCTTTTGCCAGGGAAAAACACTTTTCTTATTTGTTACACCAAAATATTTCATAGTTTGGAATACCTTGTTGAGTATCCCCTTAATCTTCCCCGCTGTAAGGAGAACAAAACCATGACACGTTATTGGGTAACTACAGCATGGAAGGGAGACTATTTAATCTGTGCTATCTGTGGTGCAATCCAATGGGTCACATTTCCCTACCATCTTCTTGTAGCTGTTAAGTTAATTTTGTTCAAGTGTGCATTCAAATTACTTTAGAAATTATCCATGGTGACCACTTCTGCCGCTTCTGATTTGATACTCACTGTTTTATATGTACAATATATATCTATATATATAAAAAATTGTTCTTTGAATCTTCTTGGTCTGTCTTGTTTAAACTTGACCATAATCTCTTGTACTCCTCTATCAAATCCCTCCCATAATTTCCTTTGCTCCAAGGAGAACAACCCCCAGTATGGAGGGTGCTAGCTATGAAGAGAGGTTGAGTAGATTAGGATTATTTACATTAGAAAGACGGAGGTTGAGGGGGGACCTGATTGAGGTCTACAAAATCATGAGAGGTATAGACAGGGTGGATGGCAAGAAGCTTTTTCCAGAGTGGGGACTCAATTACTAGGGGTCACGATTTCAAAGTGAGAGGGGAAAAGTTTTAAGGGAGATATGTGTGGAAAGTTCTTTACGCAGAGGGTGGTGGGTGCCTGGAATGCATTGCCAGTGGAGGTGGTAGAGGCAGGCACGATAGCATCATTTTAAGATGTATCTAGACAGATACGTGAATGGGCGGGGAGCAGAGGGATACGGATCCTTGGAAAATGGTCGACAGGTTTAGATAGAGGACCTGGATCGGCGCAGGCTTGGAGGGCCGAAGGGCATGTTCCTGTGCTGTAATTTTCTTTGTTCTTTGTTCTTTTTCCAACCTAACCCTTTCAATAGAATCCCTCATCTCTGGAAGCATTCCAATAAATCACATCTGCACTTCTCAAGTCTTTCACATACTCTCTTAGTGTGGCAGCTAGAGTTGGACTCAATGCTCTAGTTGTGACCTAGTGAAAATTTATCCTACTTTTGTACTTAGTACCTCAATTTATTAAGTCCAAGATCCCATATGCTTTGTTCATGGATTTCCCACTTCTCTCAACATACCCTCTCACCTCCAAAAATCTATGCAAATACACCAGGCCTCTTCTTTAAAACTGTTCTATTTACTCCATTATTACCTCTTCTTATTCTTTCTGCCAAAATGCATACACTCAAACATCTGTATTAAACTCGACCGACACTTTTGTCCATTCTGCTGGCATGTCCATGACCCATTACACCCTTCTTTTGAATTAGTGTCACATTTGGCAGTCCCAATCCATTGGTATTTTCGCATGTCTCCACCCTCAACTTCTTGTAGCAACCTCGGGTGCAAGCCATTTGGACCAGACAATTTATCCACGGAATACTTCACCCTATTACCTCTTTCAATTCGGTGTCAATCAATTATTATGTAAGAATTTTTTTCTTTATTAAATACTGATAAAAGTGCCCAAGTCTTCTAGTCTTGTCTTCTGACACTAAGCATGTATCATCTTTGTCTCTTGAAGGTCTCGGTCTGCTTCTTAGTATCTGCTGTCTACTTACATGCTCATAGAAGATATGTGTTTCATTTGATTTTAACAACTATTCCAATCTCATTATCTACCTGTTTTCCTAATTTCCCCATTCCGCTATTCTTAATGACCTGATTTTTTTTTATTGAAACATTCTGTTCATATGCAGCATATTCCATTTTATTCTCCATTACCTTTATCATTCAAGGAGCTCTCTTTTATTCCTCTACCTTTTGCCCTTGTTGGCATTCCTGCATTGAAAGAATTTCCTCCTCGAGGACTGTCCACTGTCCTATTGTAACTTTTCCTGTTAATCTTTTGAATCATTTTACCCTGGTTAGATTTCGATTTATCCCATTGAAGTTAACTTTGATGTTCTGCTTTACATTGTTCTTTGCTTTTCTCCAATGCTAATCTAAAGCTTTGGTAAACAACAGTTACTCTTAACCCAGTGCTTACCCCACATACATTTGGCCTAATGCATTTGCCAGCTTCAGATACAGCAATGCTTAGTTGGACCTATTTAAGAAGGGAGACAGAGAGAAAAGAAACACGAAATATAGACCAATTAGCCTGATGTCAGTAGTGGGGAAAGTGCTTGAGTCCATTATCTTAAAAAGAAGCTGAGCATTTGGAAAATAGTGGCAGGATCAGACAATAAGCATGAATTTATAAAAGGAAAGTCATGCTTGACAAATCTACTTGATTTCTTTAAGGATGTAACCAGTAGTGTTCATGAAGAGGAGCCAGTGGATATGGCTTATTTGGACTTTCAGAAGGCGCTTGACAAAGTCCCACAGAAGAGATTTAATGTGTAAAATTAAAGTGTATGGATATGGGGTAGTGTATTGACTTGGATAGAAAACTGGTCAGAAAGGAAACAAAGCGTATGAATAAATAAGGCCTTTTCTAAATGGCAAACAGTGACTGGTGCGTACAGTGGGGACCAGTGCTAGGATCCCAGTTATTAACAATTAAATAATTTTGAATCGAGGAACTAAATGTAATATCTCCAAATTCGCAGATGACATAAAGTTGGGTGGGAGGGTGAACTGTGAGGAGAATGCATAAATGCTTCAGTATAATTTGGACACTTTGAATGAGTGGACAAACACATGACAGATGAAATATAGTGCGGATAAATGTGAGGTTATACACTTCGGTAGCAAAATCAGGAAGGCAGATCACTATCTGAATAGTGATAGATTGAGAGAGGGGAATGTGCAATGAAACCTGGGTGCCCCTCATACATCACTTTCTGAAGGAAAGCATTCAGGTGCAGCAGACAGGAAAGAAGCAAATGGTATGTTGGCCTTCAAAACGAATTGGTTAAATACAGGAACAAGGATGTCTTAATGCAGTTATATAGGGCCCTAGTGAGACCACACAACGGATATTGTGCAGTTTTGCTCTCCTTACTTGAGGACAGTTCTTGCTATAGAGAGAGTGCAGCAAAAGTTTCCAAGATTGATTACTGGGATGGTGGGACTGACACATGAGATGTTGAATTGTTTCAGATTATATTTGCTGGAGTTCAGAAGAATGCCTATAAAATTCTAACAAGACTAGACAGAGTGAATGCTGAAAAGATGTTCCCAATGGAAGAGTCCAGAACCAGGGGTCACCATCTAAGGATACTATTTAGGACTGAGCATGGTGAACCTGTGAAATTCGCTACCACAGTAAGCTGTTGAGGCCAAACTATTGTACGGTTTCAAGAAGGGGTTGGATATAAGACTTTGGGCTAAAGGGATCAAATGATATTGGATAAAATTAGGAATAGGTTATTGAGTTGGATGATCAACCTTGATCAGAGCAAAGTTGATGGACCGAATGAACGACTGTTCCTGTTTTCTATGTTGGTCTAAATTATCCTGAATGTATTTTAAGATGCTGTCCCTTTGCACCAAGCTCCCTCCTCCTGCCACTCCCCCTCATATCCACACTCACCCCCACACACCCACACCCTCTGTTATTCTCACATTAAGTTGATTTTTGGGTACATAAAATCTTTTCACATACCTGTGATTTTCCTGCAAATTTGCCTGTGTATTTCTATCACTAAATATTTGAAGGTCTATAAACATATTCCCAGTAACATGATCACCCCATTTTTCCTGCTAAGCTCAAGCTAAATGAGTTCTGTCTTTGCCCCTCCATCTTCTCTCCATCATCATCACCTCTTCCCAATATCACGATGATGGAATTGAAGGTGAGATGAGATCAGCCATGACTGGCAAAAGGTGAAGCAGGCTTGAATTGCATTTTCCTGCTCCTTGTTCTTGTGTTCTCTCTTTCCAATGTATCTGCGCTACTTCCCACGGATTCTGTGCTACTGCTGTACACTGTGGGTCTTAGAAATTGTTCTTTCTCGAAATCGGACACTTTAGTTACTGTTTATTTCACCATGCTGTAAATAGGGTAAAGTAATAAACCAGTTTCCTCCCTTTCAGGAGTGTTCAAGCAAGTCACATTCTAATATCATCAGATGGACAAGTTTATCTATCAGGACTCCGCAGTATTTTCAGTATGATCAGCCATGGGCAACGGCTACGGGTGATCCACGACTTCCCAAAATACAGTGTTAAGATATTACCATGGCTAAGTCCTGAGCTGCTGCAACAGGTAAGCCCATTCATCCTTTAGCCAAGATCATTTTAAACAGACTGACCGTGACAGGGAATTCTGATACTTCAGCATGGTGATCATTTTAATACATGCATCATGATGCATTTGTGTGTATTATAATGGAGATCTATGACTTGAGGTGCAGCTTGCCTTGCTCTCAAAACTTTGCTGTTTATTGGCCTGTCTTTCCACCCCATTAAAATGCCTACCCAAAGTACCTTCTCCAACCAAAAATGGGGATCACATTGCATTCCCCCCTCCATCCTCTTCACAATATCAGGGCTGTCACAAGCAACTGCTGACTTTTTAGTTACTTTTATCTGGCATGTTCTTCACCCAACAGAAAGTCATACCTATTAGTCAGGCTCATTACCAAGGGCACAACTTCTAGAAAAGATTCCATGTTGTGGAATCAAAATCAGAAATACGTTCTGTCCAAAGCTATTTGCCAACCCCCTCCTTACCTTCGTTGAACAGGATTGGAGGTATCTCTGAGACTCCTGACCAGATTCCAAGATAGATGGTGTTTATTATCCTGTTGTTTTAAAGGACATCCATTGCTATTGGAAATCCATGTCAAATTACGGTCACTGTGCAGCAGCCGAGTCACCATCAAATTGATAAGTACCAGGAGGCTAGGTGTGAGCTCAGAGTGCGGTGATGAGAAGCCCACATTTTTGTTTGGATAAAGAAGCTGCATATATACTGTGTATTCTTAGTAATCTCAATTTAAGCCTTCTCGTGGAGTCAACCAGATTCTATGTGGTCCTTGCAGCTGATTGTGAGATACCTAGTCATCAAGCTGTACTTGTGTAGCAAAGTTTCCTTTGAAAACTTGGTGTTAATGCTGTCTTATAATATTTACAGCTGACAACTAATGTATCCTCTGTAACCGTTTGTTCCTTCCTGTAGAATCTGCAGGGTTATGATGCCAAATCTGATATTTACAGTCTGGGAATAACTGCCTGCGAGCTAGCTAATGGACATGTTCCCTTCAAAAATATGCCTGCAACTCAGGTATGAGTGTTACAACTTCTGTTTTTCAGAAATTAGAAGCAGGAGTAGGTTATTTAGCCTTTTTGAACCTGCTTCTTCATTCAATATGATAATGGCTGATCCCCTCTCAATATCATATTATTCCTTTCTTCCCATACCCCTTGATGCCTTTAACATCTAAATGTATATCCAACTCTTGAATATATTCAGTTACTTGGCCTCCATAGCCTTATGTGTTAGAGAATTCCACAGGTTCACTATCCTCTGAGAAGAAATGTTCTTGTCTCGGTTCTAAATGACCTATTCCAATATCCTGAGACTGTCCTCCACTTTCTATCTCCCCAATGAGGGAAGACATCATCACTGTATCTAGTCTGTAGAGCCCTGTTAGAATTTGTGCTCAATTCTACCCTTATCAGCATAGACTATAGCATGACGTTAGTGTGTCTCAGGGTTTTGGTAATGTAATGTTTAACAGATTGAGGACAAAGATAAAGGAGGATTTAATTGGCAGCATGAGAGGTAAGTGTTTGTCACACATTTAGTTTCATTCAGTCATAGAATATCACGATCTTCCTTTTTAACTTTATAAAATAAAACTTGATTGCGCAAATCAAGACGTTCTTCATTATGTGGTTAAAGGTATTTTTGTATTTGCTCAGATTAGTTTCTACATTAAAGGCTGAAAGTTGAAGTAACTGTAATTGTTAAAGATTAAATTCTAAATTATACTTTGTGAGCTGAAAGCCCAGAAGTGAGCTACTAGAAAAGCCTGTCACTCACCTTTTGAGTGAGTCTGATTGTTGGTGTTACTGCTCACACCATTCTCAATGCCACTAGACATCAAATGTCTAATCGTATCTGATTAAGAAGCCACTGTGCTGTGAGGCCATTATAGATCTGGGCAGTTTATTGTAAAAAGGTGACAGGAAGATGGAACTGCTTTATTCAACTTTGTAAGGCAGACTTGTAAGGAGTGGAGGAGAAGTGAGATAAAAAGAATGTTGAGCACAAGTTAAGTGCAAGGAATTTCACAGTCGTCATACAGCATGGAAACAGACCCATTAGGTCCAACTAGTCCACGCTGACTGTGTTCCCAAACTAAACTAGTCCCACCTGCCTGCGTTTCGCCCATGACTCACCAAATCTTTCCTATTCAGGTAATTATCCAAACGTCTTTAAATGTTGTACTGTGTCTGCATCCAACACTTTCTCTGACAGTTGTTCCATGCATGAACCACTCTTTTTTTTTTTTAAAAAAAAAGTTACCCATCATGTCTTTTTTACAACTTCCCCTCTCACCCCCTAGTTTTGATCTCCCCAACTTTAGGCTTTTCACCTTATCTATGCCCCTCAATTTTATAAACTTCTGTAAAGTCACCCCTCAACCTCCTATGCTCCAGTGGAAAAAGTCCCAGCCTTCCTTTATAACTAAAACCCTTCATTCCCAGCAACATCCTGGTAAACCTTCAAAACCCTCTCCAATTTAATTATATCTTTCCTATAGCAGGGTGACCAGAACTGCACACAATGCTCCAGAAGAGGCCTCACCAATATCCTGTACAACCTCAACATGACATCCCAACTCTTGCACTCTCTCAGGTCTGAGTAATGAAGGCAACTCATGAACTTAATTCTGAAAGAAAGTGACAGAACAGCCCCCTGTCTAATGGCAGGTAATGCAGAAGTAATTGTATTACAAGAGGTGGTTTGAGCGAAAGTAGATTGCAGTCATAGGAACCAACAACAAGAAGGATACTGTTTGCCCCATTGTGTGATAAGAACTTGATTACACTTTCAATTAAAACAAACTAATGGATGACATTAGAATTTGAGCTGAGAAGACATTCAAGCAGATAGGAAGAAGAAATATTTGCCAAGTGCATAATTTTGAATAAGCAGCTGGACAAATAGAAATGATGGAATCCAGAGCAAGGCACATGATGTGTATAAAAGCAAAAACTGCAGATGCTGGGAATCTGAAACAAGCACACCGAATGCTGGAGAAATATAGCAGTTCAAGCACATCTGTGGAGAGAGAAATGGGTAACATTTCAAATCCAGTATCTGTATAGTTTGTAGTATGCAGAAAACCCTGGATCAGGAAAGGGGTACTCGTGTTGCTGAAGCAGAGCAATGCTAAGGACAGCTGGCTGCACCCTGTAACATATAAAGGAGAAAAATGTTCTGGAAGACACATCAGCACTTAAAGTGAAATGGGCAATGGGAATCAGTAAAAGGATCACTAGGAACCATTTCATGAAAATCAAAGGGTCTGCATTTTTTGACCGCTTACATTGACTGACATCTATGACAAGTATAGAGGCACTTGGAGACTAATTTTAATCACTAATTTGCCACGATGTGGAAAAAAAGGTTGATCCATAAGAATAGACCTTGGTTAGGAGTACTGTTGATCAAAAAAAATCATAAGATTGTATGAACGATAAATTTAAACCTATTTTGGGACAGGTACACAGTACTAAAAGCATTTTCAAATCAATGATTATGGGCCAACTGGAAGCTGAGGTATAGTAATGACATGCATCAGAAGTGCTGAGGATGGCAAGAGGAAACAGCTCTGAAATTGCAGGTGGAGCTAGACAATAGGTAAATACACAGAGCAGTGGCAACATATCCAGTGGAAAAGAAAATGAACACATAGCCTAACTTGGAGATGGATTCTCAGTCGAGTTTAAGCATTGGGCACTAGAAAGAGGGATGATTCAGCCTTGGAAATAGTACACTTTTTTTTAGGGTTGTGATTTAGGGTAGATATGTGTTCTGAGCCCTCTGAAACTCAGATTTGCATAGTGATTTGAATTCGGGGACTACAGCAGATGAAATTTGGGATAGTCTAGTGCAAAGCCTTAGATGGTGGAATAAAGTTGGAGCTGTAATAAAGGTAGCCAAAATAGCTAAAGGAGAAGCTGAAAAATTTGGAACTGGTGAGGGGATTGATGAGGTGATAGTTCCACTTCCAACATGGAATTCTAAAACCAGAGAGCCCATCAGAACAGAGCTGATCTACAAGTATTCACCAAGTCTGAGTCGGAGGTCATGGAGCAGTTTGATAAAATCAAGGAGGATAATGGTAAGGCAGACAACTGATAGAAATTTCAATGCAAAAGTACTTCTAATTCTTCAACGAACATAATGAAATATTCCTAGTGCTTTACAGTAGAATTGATAAACGCAAAAAAGGAAGAAGAGGCAAAGTTAGTGGTAGTGACCATAGAAGACAACAGAATTTAAATACTGTATGACAACTCTGCCACTAGTGTGCAGAGAATCAGGCAATTCACAATTGGCAGTAGAAGATATCATTTTCAATTTAGCCTTCATTTATTCCTAATGCTTTTAAATTAAAAAAGGGTTGAGGAGTTTGAAATTGATAACATCAGCAAATGCACAGATGCTAAAATGAATTAAAATAAGTGGAGTAGCACAGATTCCAGTTCTTGACTGCTGCTTAGAAATAATGCTGTGCGTTCATGTTAGAATGCAGGCTCACCTTTTAAGTGTTCCCTACTAGCAATCATCTTGAGATCTGCCACAAATTTGAGAGCTGCAGATGGTGTAAATCCATTTCCAATCAACAGATAAAATTTTAGCCATCTCTGTATGGATTGAAAATGGTCCAAAACAAATATCAGTCAATGACCTCACTTGACCAATCTTGGAATTCTTTGAAGAAATAGTAACTGTCAGATAAAATGCAGTAAATAGGGATTTAACAAAAAGGTATCAAATAAGAGATGGGAAAGATAAAATCAAACAGTCTTCAATGGAACGTATGGAGAGATGCTTTTGGGGAAGAAAGCAAAATTTAAGAACTAAAGGAAGTCTCTTAATCAACAGAGATATGATAAGTGTTCTGTGGAATCCCAAGTTGTGATAAATGATTTGGACTTGAGAATTGAGGAATCTTGATGACCTACAACCCCAATTTTGTGTTGGGCCAAATTTAAAAGGAGAATGTACATCTACAAGAGGATATAGGTAGAATGATATGATGGGAAAATCTGAAGTATGAACAGGGGGGAAAAGAAATTGCAAAAATTTCAAGTGGAGAAATCTGGATTGTTAAGAGTGATAACAAAACTAGGCAACATTTTAAAATGAAAGCAATGAAAAGTTAAGGGCTGCACAGTGGCTCGGTGGTTAGCGCTGCTGTGTCAGCGCCAGGGACCTGGGTTCAATTCCACCCTCGGGCGTCTGTCTGTGTGGAGTTTGCACATTCTCCCCGTGTTTGCGTGGGTTTCCTCCAGGTGCTCCGGTTTCCTCCCACAGTCCAAAGATGTGCAGGCTAGGTGGATTGGCCATGCTAAATTGCCCGTAGTGTTCAGGGATGTGTAGATTAGGTGGGTTATAGGGGGATGGGTCTGGTTGGGATGCTCTGAATGTTGGTGTGGACTTGTTGGGCCAAAGGGCCTGTTTCCACACTGTAGAGATTCTACGATTTCAAGCAAGGCATGTTCAGTCAGTAAGGAATAGCAACCAGCAGAGCAAACAGTGTGAGCCTTGCCAAGTAAAATCACCATGGAAGCTTTGATCTTCCACGGGAGAGCTGAAGATAGAACTATTGCTTTGAAAGTAGAGATAATTGAAGACTCCAGTATAAGATGACAAAAGAAGAGATTAGTAAAAATGAAGGGAAAAATTAAGAGTCTTTAGCACAGGATCCCAAGTTTCTGTAGCCAGTGTATTGAGCTGCAGCCACCTTGTGTTATGTGGGCTATGTGGTGATGTTCATAAGGTCATACCAGCAACAGAACTAACTAAAATTTATGTAGCTGTTTCATGTAATTTCACAGGAAATTTTGAAAAGTCATGAAAATTTATAAAGAGAGGGATGGGACTTTTCTGACTTCAGACAGAATCACAACTTTTTCCAATGTCCGTTTAACTCTTCCAGTTATCTTTTGCTTTGCTTCACATGTCCAGAATTTAGTACAAGTTTTGTTCTCCTACCTGATCCTGTTCATTTCTCCTGCTAACTGGCTGTTATGAACACTGCC